TTTTTTTCTTTAATTCATTCCCCAATTTTTTGCAATTTATGAATTACATCGATGGACTATTTCTGTTGGGGAAATGGCAAAATGGAATGTTTTCAATCGGTAATAGTATAGGAGTGCTAGAGTGAAATTCAACAGATTTTATTTTGGTTTGAAGGTCTTTTTTTAACCTATGAAATGAAAAAAAAATCATTCGATTTCATTCAGTGGTTTTCGAGTTATCGATCACTGAAAACGTTCTATTTTGTCTCATAAAAATTGAGGAATTCAACAATCTTTAATTATTAAAAAAAAATTGAATCAATCAATGAATCCAGCAGGAAGTATCGGTTAATATATTTGTATAAAATAAACCAATCGCTAAGAAAAATTTGAAAGATTTATTGAATACAATCGTTTAATATTTAATGATTTTTTCCATTTTCATTTTTATCGAAAGTGGAAATAAAAATGTGATCGAATGAATCATCGCCTAGTAATGACTCCATATCCCCACACTATCAAAGAATTTGTTGGCTCAAGTGGAAAAATAGAAATAAATAAAACATGCAAAAACATTTGCACAAATTCCTCACAATTTTCCACCCGATTATCCATCTCTCATTTCACACATGTCGTCTCACCTGACGTCTTGACGTCACAGCATACCACACCGTTATTACAAAGTACACTTTTTTCTCATACACAATGATCATAATTGTGCAATTATTCCCATTAAAGTCAATACTGGTTCTCATCCTGGTATGTGAGGGAATTTAATTGAGAATAAAAATAAAAGGTGTAGGGGAACGAAGTGAGTAAAACGTCAGATGATGAGTGATAAATAAAACAGAGCGTTTTATCAAGGAGAATAATACGGAGATTATTTTAAACAACGTAAATATTGAAAAATTGAATAATCAAGTTGCCTTAATGATGAATTATCGAGTCATTGAGATGATTGATTGATGAATTTCACTTGCAGTTATTGTTGTGTTGGCGTCTAATTCATATTCATTAGTCCATTGATTGACTGACCAGATTTATTTATTCGTTTATTGGAATGTTATTGATTGAGTTGTGGATTTTAATTAATTTTGTTCTTTCTTTTTTGTTGTTTATAGGGAAATGGTGTCCACGTAGAGAATGGAGTTCGCCGCCGGATGCACAAAGAGCGGCTAGTGATGCGGCGAGACGCGGTGTTCTCTACTCTTCCGTCTTTCTCGGCAGTCCTGGTAAGTCTTATGTTAGCAATAATTAATAACAAATTATTAATACTCTATCCAGAGGTTACACCTTCTGACATTTAATAATTGAAAAACTCGTTGGAATTGAAAGAGTCTGTCGGTACCCGCGCAAATCAATTTATATAGATAAAAAAAATCCTAAACTTTCCCAATTTATATAAAATATATATATACATAAAAATTGATTTTGGAGATATTTTTATTATGCACTTGTTATGAATTGGGAAAATGTAGAGAATTGACAGATAGTATATTTTTTTTTCTCCATTTTTCTATCGGGTAGATTAATTATTGAATAGAATATTAAATGGAGTAAAAAAATTTATTTTTTATTAGTTGGCGATAAAATAATTGGAAAATCTTAATGATGTGGCCCACTGTAATTTAATTAATTAATTAATTAAGAAAAATATTTTTTCAACTATTTTGTCTTGTCACGGTTATCTAATGTAATTAATTCATTTTATTAAGTTGATTGACGATCATAAACCGCCGGAAATATATTTTTCCCGCCAAAAGTAATTCACGAATTCGAAAAATCGGAATTTTTTCCATTGAATTTGAAAAAAAAATGGATTCCAAGAAAATTCAATGGAATTGACAAACGAAAATCCGAGAATTGATCAGAAGTAATAAAATCA